GGGGGGGGGGTTCCTTTCAATTAAAGGAGAATTTGGAGAGATTAAATCGGGCTAAAAATAATGTTAGGTTTCTGTTGGTAAACTTGCAGTACACCTTTGTCTCCTTCCTGCTACCCCTGCAGGGTACTGCTGACGGGTGCAGATGTGAACCTGGCATGGGGCCGCCGCTATGGGCTGGTGGGTCGGAATGGACTGGGAAAGACGACACTGCTGAAGATGCTGGCCACCCGGAGCCTGCGAGTTCCAGCCCATATTTCCCTGCTGCACGTAGAGCAGGAGGTTGCTGGAGATGATACCCCTGCCCTACAGAGTGTGCTGGAGAGTGACACTGTGCGAGAAGACCTCCTGCAGCAAGAGCGGGAGCTCAGTGCCCAGATTGCTGCTGGCAGGTAAAGGCTCTGGCCTAGGGAATAACTAGCAGCAGTGGTCCTTCACAGAGTGCCTGCCATACTGTCATAATTCATAATTCGCATGCCCATCCCAGTGAGCAGCAGAGTTTAGAACTTTGCACTGAGAGGCTCTCAAGCCCAAGGACCTCAATGCTGTGAGCAAGTTCTTCCTCTGTGGGTACTCTGTTCTCACCCCAGCAGCCAGTGGTCTGCTTTTCAACTGCATGGGGTGCAGGACATCCTCTTGGACTCTCCCTACCCAGGCTGATTGCTCTTCCCCTCATTTCCACCCCAGGGCTGAGGGCTCAGAAGCTGCACAGCTGGCAGAAATCTATGCCAAATTGGAGGAGATTGAGGCTGACAAGGCACCTGCCAGGTATTTGAAATTCCCCCTTCCTTCACATTTCACCTTTCCTTTCTGTTACCTGTTCCAACTGGCTTCTTCACTTCTAGGGCATCAGTCATTCTTGCTGGACTTGGCTTTACTCCTAAAATGCAGCAGCAGCCCACCCGGTGAGTGGCCCTTGCCATTCTTGACTCTGGATACTATTGGCTCTGCCCCTGCCTGTGCTGGTGAGCACCCACCTCTCATGTGGCTCTGTCTTTCTTTAGGGAGTTCTCAGGTGGCTGGAGGATGAGACTGGCCCTGGCCCGGGCCCTGTTTGCTAGGTGAGTCTTCTGGGCCTGTGTGTGGATCCTGTCGAGGATAGGCCTTGGCACTTAAGAGTTTGCAGTGAGTCTCTGACCTCAGACCTCAAGCTTTGCATTCTTCTTTTCCATAGGCCAGATCTTCTGCTGTTAGATGGTGAGTTTGAAATGGAGCACCCTAACTTCAGGGTGGGAAATGTGGCAACACCCAAGTTCCTAGTTCTCCAGCCCTTCAATCCCAAATGTGTCCCCTTTTCCAGAACCCACAAACATGCTAGATGTAAGAGCCATCCTATGGCTGGAGAATTACCTGCAGGTGAGTGCCTATAGGTGCTGGAGTAGGTTTGGGGAAAGTCTGCTTGCAAGATACCTGGGGGCTGGGAGCAGACTGCCCTCCCAAACTGGGCCTGCTGTCCCTTGACCCCCCAGACATGGCCCTCCACAATTCTGGTTGTCTCCCACGACCGAAACTTCCTGAATGCCATAGCCACAGACATCATCCACCTGCACAGCCAGCGGCTAGATGGTTACCGGGGAGACTTTGAGACCTTTATCAAGAGCAAGCAAGAGCGGCTACTCAACCAGCAGCGTGAATATGAGGCACAGCAGCAGTATCGCCAGCATATCCAGGTATGGGAGCTGGCAGGGCTGAGGTCCCCATCTCATGGGTACTAGAGTTGCAGAGAGAAAGGGAGCCTGACCTATGCCTGCACTCATCCACCTGCAGGTTTTCATTGACCGGTTTCGCTACAATGCCAACAGAGCCTCTCAAGTACAAAGTAAACTCAAGATGCTGGAGAAGCTGTGAGTACAAGGTCCTTGACTGGACCCTGACTCCTGTTCTCTTAATTTCTTGCCTCATATTGCAGGCCACCCTTGCCCTCCCATTCTAAGCCTCCCCTTTTATTTAGCTTCCTCCCCTGCAAGAAAATAGAATGTTTTATACTGTTCTCAAAGAGTTAATCTTGCCCCCAGACCCAGGTAACAACTAGTTTACTCTCTGTGTATATTTGCTTATGCTGAACATTTATTATAAATGGAATCATACAGTGTGACCTTTGTGTCTGGCTTTTGCTTAGCATAATGTTTTTGAGGGTCATCTGTTTCATAGCATGTATTAGTACTTCATTCCTTTTTATGGCTCGATAACATTCCATTGTATGGATACTACCACATTTTGTTTATTGATTTATCAGTTGATGGACGTTTAGGTTTTCTCTTTTTGGCCCTTATGAATAATGCTGCTATGAACATTTGTGTACTGGTTGTTGTGTAGGCATATATTTTCTATTCTCTTGGGTACATACCTAGGAGTGGAATTGCTGGGTGACATGGTAATTCTGTGTTTCACTATTTGAGGAACTGCCAAACTTGGGGTTCCGATTTCTCCATACCCTGGTCCACATTTATTATGTCTTTTTTTTTTTACTCCTCACCTGAGGACGTGTTTAGAGAGAGGAAAGGAGAGAGAGAGGAATATCGATTGGTTGCCTTCTGTATGTGCTCCGAACTTGCAACCCAGGTACGTGCCCTGACCAGGAATCGAACCAGCAACCTTTCGGTGCACAGGAGGACACTTGGCCAACTGAGCCACTCTTGCCTGGCTTATCTGTCTTTTTAATTTTACCCTTCTAGTGGGTATGGTGTGTTATCTCATTGTGGTTTTGCTTTGCATTCTTTAATGACTAAGGATAACGAACATTGAAGGTTTAATCTTGAAGCAACCTTTCTAGAAGTGCTGGTGGTAGGAGAGCCTAAAATCGTAAAATTTAGGATTTTGTGACATTGAAGCATATGTCATGATATGTTAACTAGCAGGACAAAAAGCTGCAAAAAGGATAATCCTTTTTTTTAGCATATAGTAAACTAGAAGAATGTACAGTTATGTGCTGCTTAATGTCAGGAATACATTCTAAGAAATGTGTCAATGGGCAATTTTGTTATTGTGCAAACATCATAGAGTGCACTTACACAAACCTAGGTGGTATAGCTAACTACACACCTGGGCATTATAGTAAAGCCTGTTGCTCCTAGGATATAGGTCTGTACAGCATGTTACTGTGCTGAATACTGTAGGCACTTGTAACACAATGGTAAGTATTTGTGTATCTAAATATAAAAAAGGTACAATAAAAATACAGTATAAAAAATAAAAATTGATACACCTGTATAAGACACTTAACCGTGAACAGAGCTTGCATGACTGGAAGTTGCTCTGGGAGAGTGAGTGGTGAGTGAATGTGAAGGCCCAGGATGTTACTGTGCACTGCTGTAGACTCTATAACCATTGTACATTTAGGCTACACTAAATTCATAAAACAACATGAGATTAAATCAAGCGCAAGAGAAAATGATGCAGTCAAGAGATGTGGTAGACAAAAGATGTTTACAGCAAACAGAAAGAATACATTTTCAAATAACAGTAAAAAGTATAGTATAGTAAGTACATAAACCAGTAACATAGTCATTTATTATCGTTATCAAGTATTATGTACTGTACATAATTACATGTGCTTTACTTTATATGACTGGCGGTGCAGTAGGTTTATTTACACCAGCATCACCACAATCACGTGAGTAATGCATTGTGCTATGACGTTATGACTTGGCTCTGATGTCACTAGGAGTTAGGAATTTTCAGCTCCATTATAACCTTTTGGGACCACTCTCACGTATGCAATCTCTTATTAACCAAAACATTGTTATGTAGGACATGACTGTACTTGAAAATAAGAATGTTATCTGGGTGGTGGGTACTACAAGCTTTTTCTAAGTTTTCTCTGAACCTATATTACTTGTGTGATGCAACAAATAAAAGTCATAAATCTAGAATGCCCCCTCTCTCCTCAGGCCAGAGCTGAAACCTGTGGACAAGGAGTTGGAAGTAGTGATGAAGTGAGTGCTGGGCCAGAGGGGCTGGTGGGAAGCTCTTGTTTCTGGCCGCTTTGGTGGCCTTTACCCCCACCTCCTCTCCCACAGGTTCCCTGATGGGTTTGAGAAGTTCTCACCGCCAATCCTACAACTAGATGAGGTGGATTTCTACTATGATCCTAAACACGTCATCTTTAGCCGTCTCTCCGTCTCTGCTGATCTTGAGTCCCGCATCTGCGTGGTATGGTTGCTGTTCCTCTGTTCCATGAGCAGGGCCTCTCCCACCCCAATGTGGGCTGTGGATTGGCCCAGATCCTCAGGCTACAGGGAGAAGAGGTCCACTGGAGCAGGAGTCAGGGCCTGAGCCAAGAACTTTGCTAAACTTACGCTGTCCTCATCCTCCAGCCTCACAGGGCTACTCTGCAGAGATGAAAGCCTGGCATGTGATACTTTATGACTACTTGAAGCATATTTTATCTTATTAGTCTCCGCTCTCAGTCTTCTCAAACCATGCAACATAGAGGAGGGAGCATAGGCTTCAGGGTCAGGCTTCAGATACTGACTCTGCCATTTCCTAGCTTTGTTACTAAACAGTTTTCTCACCTTTAAAATGGAGATAGCTGTCTACCTCACTTGGTTTTTGGGAGAATTAAATCCCCAGCATTTAGTAGGTACTCAGGTATTAGGTTCTCTTTACATCTTTATTACTTCCTTCATTTTTCTCTTTAGTTTCTGAAAAACATTTTAGTTGTTGAAAGAATCTTTGGGACTACCTGAGTCCAATTCTCATTTCCTTCCCTTCTGTGTCCTACACATGTACACTCTTTAAAGTTCTCATGTTTTTTCTTATAGGTTGGAGAGAATGGGGCTGGGAAGTCTACCATGCTGAAGCTGCTTATGGGGGACCTAACACCTGTTCGGGGCATCAGACATGCTCACCGGTAGGACCTACACCTCCATTCTCCAACTACTCACACACTTGTAGCTATACTCTTTATGGTCATTGCCTTTCGTCCCCTCTTCCACCTTCATTTCTGCCGGCAGGAATCTGAAGATTGGTTATTTCAGCCAGCACCATGTGGAACAGCTGGACCTGAATGTCAGTGCTGTGGAACTGCTGTCACGCAAGTTTCCTGGTGTGTTAGGTTGGAGTTAGGAAAGAGGGCCAGGGCTGCCACCTATAGTTAGGCATACTTTGGGGAGGTGCTGAGCAGCCTATCCAAGTCTGGTATAAGGACAGGGACATTTGGAGGTGGGGCTGTGGAGAGGGTGAAGGGAGGGAGTTGGGCCATGATCAGTTGGGGCCTATTCCAGGACGGCCTGAGGAGGAGTATCGTCACCAGCTGGGCCGGTATGGCATCTCTGGAGAACTGGCTGTGCGCCCTGTTGCCAGCTTGTCTGGGGGCCAGAAGAGCCGGGTAGCCTTTGCTCAGATGACCATGCCCTGGTGAGGCCTCATTTTCTAGAGTTTGCCCTCCTCTGTCCCCCTCTTGCCTAGTAGAAAATGATTCTCTTATCTTTGTATCAGAGGAGTTCATGGTTTCTCCCACCCCCCCATAACTACTCACCTCCCTGGGTTTTGCCTTCCAGCCCCAACTTCTACATTTTGGATGAACCCACAAACCATCTGGATATGGAGACAATTGAGGCTCTGGGCCGCGCTCTCAACAATTTCAGGGTGAGTGTGTCTTCATTCCGCCCACTCCTCCCCAGTCCTCAGCGCTCTTTAGGGTGCCCCCCAAGTGCCTCTGGTCTCCTGTCTTTCAGGGTGGCGTGATTCTGGTGTCACACGATGAGCGCTTCATCAGGCTGGTGTGCCAGGAGTTGTGGGTGTGCGAAGGAGGCGGCGTCACCCGGGTCGAGGGGGGATTTGACCAGTACCGTGCCCTTCTCCAGGAACAGTTCCGCCGGGAGGGCTTCCTCTAGGCCCAACAGGCTGAGGACTATGCCCAGGACATGGACTGGTCTCTCAGACCTCTGGGCCACCATGTAGGCAACCATCTCCACGCCATGGACCTCCCCTGACTTTGGGGACAGCCTTATTCCCAAATCTCCTTTTGACTGGAGCATGCTCTGCACAATCCAGGGAGCCCCATCTAAGGGTCTTTGAGGACTGGTCTTCTAAGTGGAAGGGGTGGGGGTTATCCTGTGGGGCTATAGATCCCCCACACACATACGCCCTAGCTCTGACTGGGCCCAAGTGGCTGCTGTGTAAATTAAATCTTCCTTGCCTCGTCTCTGCTGTTCCCTGGCAGGGCTGCAGTGTGTTAGGGGTGTGGGCTGTCTGATTTGTTATTCTCCTGTGACATTTGTATCAATCACAAGGAGGAAGTTATGGCATCACCGGTCTTGTCCCTGGACGGAGACATCATTAAAGTCACTGGGGCTCAGAGGTCACATGGCTGACCTTGTGAGCTAAGATGTTTGAATGAAAGGCAGTGTGTGACATCACTGTGGTGCTGGTCCCTATAGCATGGGCCCAGCCTCAGCTGAAGGGATCTTGGATTCTGCTGTCTCAGCCTCACTGCTTGGGAGAGTGAACTCATTTTGTAACCATGCGGCTTTAGACGTGAGGTGTCAACTGCTTTCTCCTGGGGTCTCTGGCCCAAGCTCACCCTGCCTCTCTGATATGGACATTCAGAAGGGGCTGAAGAGAAATTGTCTTTGTCTCTGTTTTGCTTGGGTGATTTCATTGTTTTTTCCTCTAACCATGTAGGAGGGGCCTGGGAATTGAAAATGAGGTCTAATGGGAAGAAATAGAGCACTTTGTTTTCAAATTTCAGTCTTTAAGGGGGGGGGGATGTTTAACAGAGGTAATATGATATATGAATATTGTTTCTCAAGGGCTCGCTGCTATATGTAATTGCAATGCAGAAGACACTAACATGGAGACATTGCTTGGCTCTCAGTAATAATGGAGAAACCAGTCAACAGAAGGAACTTACTGGCTTTTTGGAGAATTACAGTCACAAAGCTCAACCAAGGAATTTTGACTCAGCTGGTAAGGTTCTGATGTAGGTAGCTGGGAGAGAGATCTGTTTTGGAATAAAGGAGAGTAAAGACAGGAAGGCTCTGTTGATTTACCACAGAACAGGCAGCAATGGATGGGTGAAACCAGCAGAAGAGCCTCTAATCAGCCTGCTCCTCAGCCTCCCTCCCTCCCTTTCAGAAGTCCTTGGGAGATGTTCTTCCAGTGGTAGAACATCTGGTGGTAGAACATTACTGGTGGTAGAAGTGGTCACCAGAGTTAGAAATACAAGCTGAGCAAGGAATCATCTGAACACCTCTGCTCGGTTTCCTTATAGGATGTGTTGAGGATTAGCTGACAAGCACATAATACATACGTACTCAAAGTGATTCTTGTGTTAACTAGTCTGATTTGAAGGACTCGTGGGAAAATAAATTTTCTCTGTGTGACTCCAGAGGTAAACAAGTTTGGGCTCAAAGGAAGGAAAACTGAATAGCTCAGACTGCTTTCTGAGAGAGTTCCCTGTCTCTGGGACTGTTCAGCCCTGCCAGGCTCTAGAGAAGGCTCTCTTTCAGCTTTGCTTCCAGTTTCATGATTCCATGAACAAAATGGGAAGAACCTATATATATGACAATAGAGGCCTTTAGAGATGACTGAATTGTAGCAGCTGAGAAAGACTACAGTTAAGTATCAGGTGAACTTTTGGAGATTAGAGCAGGAGAGTTGGTAGAAGATATAGACAATGTCAGCTCCATTCCAGAAAGCACAGGGCAGAGAGGACAGAGGAATCTGACATGCATGGGTGCAAAGCCATCCTTGATCACCACAGACTGCCCATCATAGGAGCCACCCTTTTCACACTGTGGAGAGTGTATCTAACCCCAACCATTGGAAAACTGGTCCTTCCACAGCTGCTGACGCTGGAGCAGCCCTACTGATGTCAGCCTTAGAGCCAAGGAGCTGGCCAGGTTGAAGGGCCTCAGCCTGCAGGATCTGCATTGAAATCCTGGCATCCCTGACCTGCTGTCCGCAGGCAACTTGGCTGGTCCCCAGTGGGAGGCAGAGTGCAGAGGCATCATGAGTCCCTCTGCATCAGTGTACTAGGCACTCAAAGACGCCAGTCAGAATTGTGTATTTCAGCGTGGTAGTACTGCCTAGAGATTTGTTGGACAACAACATTTTGCTATATTCTCACTGCTTTTAAGGCAAATTTTAGAGTGGAATAGGGGAGAAGGTGCCATTTACCCTTGCTGGCCATGCCCCAGCCTAATTTGTCATTTTAAATGTTTGTGTGTTTTTTAATATTTATTGATTTCAGGGAGGAAAGGAGAGGGAAAGATAGAAACATCAATGATGAGAGAATCATCAATCGGCTGCCTCCTGCATGCCCCCTACTAGGGATCGAGCCCAAAACCCAGGCATGTGCCCTGACCAAAATCGAACCGTGACCTCCAGGTTCATGGGTTGGCACTCAACCACTGAGCCACACTGGCTGGGCTAATTTGTCATTTTAGAGTATAATATTCTAGTGAAAGCCACTTCCTAAGCCTGGGTCTGGCCCACCCACAGATGCAAACCAAACAGTGCCTTTGCCAGCATCATCAGCTCACGGCTCTGCTTCAGCCTAAACATGCAGACTGGATGTTGGAACCTATGGAAATCCCAGCAGGCTAGCAGGCTGGGTTCACAACCTGGCTGAAGGGCCTCTAGGGGTTCCTGAACCTGGAGTGATAAGACTCCCCTCAAACCTGCCTCCCTCCGAGTGGGCTTCATTGCACTTTGTGCTTCACCCGTTCTAAGCTGCTTGCCATTATTAAAGTTGTAGATCCTACTTTGCCTTGTTAGCCTAGAAGGCCACACCGTGGCTTGTTTGCCTTTGTGTCTTCTGTTCCTGCCACAGGTTGGGTTCCCTGGGAAGCCGCATGAGGAAATCAGCATGCAGGGTGTTCACTGGAGGGTACTCCTGGGATCAACACCAGGACTGAGCAGAGGGAGAAGTTGAACAGCATTGAAAGCCTCAGTCAGTCCACATTTTGGAGCTGGGTAGCCCCGCAGAGTTGTCCTGAGTTGAGGCAATGGCTCAGGCAGGCGTTTATTCTGCTGAGTTGATCAGTCTGATTGCTGACTGCTACCAGAAGGAAATGTGATGTTGAGAGAGGAAGTTTTCTTCAGCTGAGACAATTCCCCCAAAGGGGCTGACAGCTGAGGACTTTCTGCCATCAACGCTCTCAGCAGCTAGGGCAGCAAGTCCTTCATTTCTGAAAGGGGTCCAGGCATCTCATCATATCATCTACTCCAGTGCCTAGCATACAGATAGGTGTGCAATAAAAGTGCTTGAGAAATGAATATTTGGAGGGAATTGAAAGGTAGAGAATGATATTGGAGGAAGAGAGGAAAAACCAAGAAACCAGCAAGAAGGCCATAACCAAAATCCAGTCCTAAGGGGATGGGTTCAGCATAGTGCAGGTGGAGATGAGACTAGGGAGGATGGTGTGGGAACTCAGCAAGGGCTGCCTGCTCTGCCCCAAAGGGGAAGGACTCCCTTTTATGAGCCAAAGCCTTAAAAGCTTAGGGACATAAGAGACAGATTAAAGGGAGTCTTTTTTAAAAAAATATATGTTTTTCTTGATTTTAGAGAGAGGGGGAGAGAAAAAAACACATGCATCAACGTTGATCAGCTGCCTCCTGCATGCCCCCTGCCGGGGATCGAGCCCACAAACCAGGCATGTGTCCTGACCTGGAATTGAACCCATGACCTCTTGGTGCATGGGTGGATGCTCAACCACTAAGCAGCACTGGCCAGGCTTTTTTGTTGTTTTCAAACCTCTGCTTGTTTCAAGACAATGCTAAGGAAATAATGACTAAATATGTATTGAACTCTTATTGTATAATAGGCACTTTTGTAAGTCCTTTACCCCCACTAACTCAATCTTCACAACTCTATTATTCCCATTTTATAGATGAGGAAACAGAAAGTTGGCATAGTGAGTGGCAGGACTGGAATTCAGGCCAGTCTGGTTCTAGGGTGCAGCTTTTAACTGTCATGCTGTACTACCACTCAGCTCCTAGTGTGACCTGCTGAATAGTTGGAGTTTGTTCACTCCATCACTTAAAACTCATCAATTGCATGGGGCAGGGTGGGAGGTATGGGATTTTAACAAGCTCTCAGGAGTGCAAGCTGATGAATAGGAGTACCTGGCGCTGGCTGGCACACTGGGTGTTCAGTGAAGTTTGTTAAATTAATAACTAAAAACACCTGGTATATGCCCTCCTGTGCACTAGGAGGTCCCGGTTCAATTCCTGGTCAAAACATGCCCAGGTTTTGGTCTCAATCCCCAGCAGGGGGTGTATAGGAGGCAGCTGATCAATGTTGATGCATCAGTGTTTCTATCTGTCTCCCTTTCCCTCTCTCTCTCAAAATTCAATAATTGAAAAAAACATATAGTGGACAAGTCATGCACTGGGATTTGCCCAGCTCTAGCACTTGAGCAAGTCAACCCCTCCTGAGTAAATTACCGTCCATAAAATGGGCATAACACAATTTGTCTTGCCTGCTTCTTTGGGAAGTTGGAAAGATTAAACGAAACAAAGCCCTGTGTAAGCCAAATAAAAATTTTTGTGAACTGTAAAGAGCTGTGGATCCAAAGGGTATCATTTCATGGATGGGGTGAGAGGGCGGCAGCCTGGGGCCGGCCTCCTCTGGAGACACACAGGCTCGCACATGTGCACGCAAACACTCTAGGCCGTCATCAAGATGACTGCCCCAGGAGGGCCTCCCAGAGCCCTCATCTGCTGAGCCAGGCATCAGAAAGCATGCTTGCAGGAGCACAGCATTAGACTGCCTGGCACCTGCTGAGTTGCACGGGGTAAGACAGAAATCATCATGCAATTTAAGCCCATTCTAATAATATGTATAGGTCATGTCCTGTTGGTAATTCTAGGCTTCTATTTTCTTTATGTTAAGTAAATGGGTGGTTTGGAAGTGATTTCTGCTTTACTGTATATAGAGAGGCCTTTGAAACCCTAAATTAGAATAAATATTTGTCAACCCATGCTACAGCATATTTTTAAAATTTTTTTTAAAATATGTTTTATTGATTTTATAGAGAGGAAGGGAGAAGGAGAGAGAGAGAAACATCAATTGGCTGCTTCCTGCATGCCCCCTACTGGGAATGGAGCCTGCAAGTCCAGTATGTGTCCTGATGGGAAATCAAACTGGCAACCTCTTTGTACTTGGGAAAACAGTCAACCAAATGAACCACACGAGCCGGGCTACAGCATTTTTAACACAGGAATGCTTTCATAAATGTTCTCTTTTGGTCTTCTCCATCATCCGTTGTTAAATGGCTCCTGATGGGTTATTCCCGTTTTACAGAACTGGAGCTTGAGGCAGAAGGATGATAAGTATCTTAGGTTCAGATACCTCTGTGGGGTGAGAACAGAGGTATCTGGGTCCCCAGCCTTCT